CTGGACCCATAGATTTATGGATGTCCAGATCATCAGCTTGCCAGATGGATGGTTAAGACTATGGAACTCTTTGCTGCAGGGAGTTGTATCTAAAAGGTAGAGTAGTTCAAAAACTGTACTAAAATGGAATAAAAATCCATTGATAGATACCAAATTCAAAGGCAGTATCTTTAACAAAGACCTTGAGATGCAATAGTTTAAGAATTTGGGAGAAATTTATATGGTGCTTGCTTCTCATTGCCACCAACTGCTTTTCAGCATTTGCTATTATCTAATCTCAGAGACAGCACACTGGCCTTAATGTCCCAGTACATTTGTTCTTAGGAAAGCTATAGAGCGGGAAAAGCTGAAATACACCCAACTGCATTGAGTTGACACCAAAATTAAGACTTTGAACATATATTTCAGCACCTCAGTCCACTGAGAATTCTCTCCTGCAGATTTGTTTTGAATCTTGGGGTTTTTTTTCTAAAAATGAGCAGAAGAAGAGTAAATGGTCAGTGATGATCAACATAGGCATGGAGATGCTATGAACATAGAATCTATTAGACACTGGAACAGGTTGCCCAGAGAAGTTGTGGATGCCCCCTCCCTGGATGTGTTTAAGGCCAGGCTGGATGAGGCTTTGAGCAACCTGGTCTAGTGGGGGGGTGTCCCTGCTCATGGGAGGGGGGTTGGAACTAGATGATCTTTAGGGTCCCTTCCAACCCAAATCATTCTATGATTCTATGCCCTTTTACTTTCCCGATGAAGTTGTGCCATTAGACATAATGGAGTGTAAAAAGGAATAAAATAAACAGCTAGTTAGGATGCTTAGTCAAGAGGAGCAAATCCTGGGTCAGTTGACCAGCTGGTGAACAGAAAATACCTACTGCTGTATTTTCTGGAAATACAGGAAGAAAGATAAGATGCAGGGGATGTGGTTTAATTAGACCATAAACTTTAACTTATCTGGGAACTATCATCAATAGCTCGTACAATGCAGGTCACCATTCCTTCCCTAATTGTTTCCACCTGATAGAGCCCTCCCTGACATCTACAGCTGGACCCCAGCTTGTTGCTGGGACAACTCCTTTCCCCAGAGAGCTTAGAAACTGAAAGGATTTGCAGTGCTGGACAGTAGGTATACCTTCCCTACGGGGCATTCCTTTCCTTGCATTTACTTATGATTTTGTTGTAAAGCCAAGAATGTAAAAGATGGAGACTTGTTTCATTTGGACAAACCTCTTTATCTATTTTTTTTCCTTGGAAGAGTGGGCAACTATTGTGGTTCTCAGAAGAGACACAGAATTCCTTCAAAGCCCTTCCAAAAAAATCACTCAGGAGCTGGGTGACTGAATGGCTAATCTGGGTATGGGGAAAAGCACAGGCTGGGGGGAACTGAAGTTTTCTCCCTGGCTGTCCAGGGCCCTGGCCTGACCTGCATGAGACCAGCAACCTCATCTGTTCTCCTCCACTTTCTTCTACTGTGTCCAGATGGTAGACAAATTATGTGGATTTAACAGATAATGACAACTCTGATATAGTTCGGTTATGCTTATAAATAGTCCTTTGGTCACGTGTGACTGGAGGAGATTCTGTCCCACTTGGGACAATTCTAGTAGCATTGAGAAATTATTCCAAAAGCCATACAGGAATAAGAGCGTAATCACTTCAGATGCTGAAATAGCAATTCAAAATACACTGGTTTCCAAAGCAAACTGAAAATTGCTTATTAAATTGTTAAAAAGATTCCTTACTCTCTTACCTTAACAACAAATATTTGTTTCTTATAAAGAAATTTTTCATCCATGTGATCTGACTCAATTATACAAGTTTAATAGCAAGTTAACGTTCTTGTGTAAAAAAATACAGTCTATTATGTTATATTATATATAACTGCTGTTACTTGTGGGGTGTAACTACTGTTATTTGTTTACGCTTTTTTTTTAAATCAAAAACTCTGAAATATTGCTCAACTTATAAAGTCTGTGGCATAGCATTTGTAAAAAAAATTATTTAATAAAAATACAAACTACTAAGAACATCACTCGGTGATGGTAACATCAGACATTGAACAATTAGTTGAAAAGTTGTGATGTTGATGATTCTTTTAATTTAAAATGACACTGAGTTCGATTAATATAGTATTCAAGTTTTCATTTTGTGAGTACAACACAATTATTTATATTTGAATAGTTTTAAAAAAAAGCTGTTTTGTGACAGCTGGTGCAATCAGACAATACAATGTCAACTTAGTAAATATTTATACTCATTGATTATTCCATCTGTAACTAAATACCTAATACATTCTTGAGGAAATACTGCCAAATTTAGAACTTTTAAAATTTTAGTTTAATAAAGTATCACCTTGTCTATTTATTGATTTTATGAATAGTACATATCTTAGGTCTTAACATAGGTCCTCTCTTAACTTTTTAAATAATTGTTTGTATTAATAAGATAACTTCTGTCTTTCATACTGTTTTAACAAAGGTATACATTTTCAAACAAACCATAAGAACTTTGCTTGAACACTAGATGGCAGCAAATATTTAGAAGTTTGGGAGGGCTTTTTGTCTCTGCATATTATTCAGTGAATATTCATCGAAGTTGGGGGAGGAAGGAACACGCAGTATTAGATCTCAGTACCTTATCTGAAACCCAACTGTATTTCATAATCATTTTTTACCCCTCAGTTTTATTTTTAACTTATGAAAATAATTAATTTGTAAGTAATACAATCAGATATTTGAACAAATAAAGAAAAAAAAAAGTTGTGGTGGTTTGTGATTTTTTTTTTTCATTGTCAGGCTTCACTGTCCTTGGTAATGAGAATTGAATGTTTTCATGATTGTGAAAGTGTTTGTTTGGTGGAAAATGTTACTACTGGACTATGTTGTTATGCTATTGTTGTTATGCTATATTTGTGTACTGAAAGATGTTTGAATCATGGAAAGAAACCAAATAATGAAATTAACCTGGGTAGCAAATTGAGTAATAATAACCTGTGAGCTATATTAGATGTTTTGCCTGTAGTAGTCTATGGAGAACTGAATGGTTTTGTAGCTACTTCAGTGCATTATCTAGCTGTATATTTTGAAAAACAACACAATGGGGCTTACCCTGACCTCCTTATGCTGTTGAAGAACAAAATATCACTTGAAAAATGTTTGAGACAAAGCTTGGGGTTATTAATCGTTGATATCAACAAGGTTTTACCAGATTTAAGGTATTTTAACTCAGGGCAGATTTCTCTTGCGTTATTGATATTTATGTTATTTCAAAATTAATATCTATATTATTATTGAGGTCTAGATGCTTAGATCTGGGCATGCATATGATACCATTTACAGTTGTGTAGAGTTTTTTAAGTATTTGCCAAGTCGTGTGGAACATTTATATGAAATCCAAACACCAATAAAACAAAAATAACTTTTAAAATGTAGTAAATTATCATAAAAGACTAGAGGGACTTTTTCGTGTTTTAAACCAGCAACAACCAAAAACTATATTTTCATGGGACGTGCAGGAAGTATTAAATTCTTATGGTAAAATCACGTTAACTGGAATAAGCAGTAAATGCTTCTCATGAATGTAACCAATACAAAATAGAGCTGAAGTTTTCAAGTAAAAATCTGTATGCGGTAAATAATTTGGTGATAAAACTACAGAATTAGCAAAAAAAGTCCCCTGGCAAAAAAACTGTTACATTGGTATGAAAAATTATTCTTTTAATTTTATTTTTTTTTAAAGGTACTCTTCTTTAAATTACCCTGAGCATATTCGCTAAAGAATTAAATCGGTTTATTTACTTTTTTTTATAACAAGCTTGCTCAGTATCATCTTTTAATTGTAAAAATCATAAGTGGTGTAGCAAAGATCACGTGGGTCACTATCTATAGTATTATGTCACAGAACATACCATGTTATTAAATGTTCAAAAGATGAAGATGTGTCAATTGTTGAAGTTATTGTCCTATGATTATTTTAAAATAATTTAAGTTGGAAACATACTGACACTTTCTTTAATCTAGTGCTAATGCTCTGAATTCCATATGTTTTCAGCAAAGTATTTATGTTCAGCTGTAACATATATATTTAATTTTGTGTCTTTTCCTCTTTCCAGATTGCTCTTGGAACAGTAACTAATGTGGAAGAAGCAGTAAAGTGGATAAGTTACACTTACCTTTATGTACGGATGAGAGCAAATCCATTAGTATATGGCATCAGTCACAAAGCTTATCAGGTATAAAATGCATTTTAAAAAAATCTGTAACCTGTTCTGGGTCTCTAATCCTTCCCTGATGCAAGGATAAATATTTGCTATTTCTACTTAACCTGACATCAGCAATTCTTTTAAAGTGCTTAGAAAAAGGAAGATATTTTCTGTAGCGGAGTATTTTTAACACTAAATTAAGAGGCCCCTTCTGTTCACATAAAAATACATTTTAACTGGCCAAGTTATGCTCCAAAGGACAACATTCATTCTTATCAGTCAATTGATGTAAGTTTCAGTTCGATAGGCTAAGTATAAATGATAAAATAAAGCATTCTTCAGTTCCTTGCTTTCCTCCTCACCCTCGTCAGCTTTTGGTTTAAAATGTTTCATCTCATGACATCTTAGAAATTACAAAATGACATTTTTAATTGGGTTGGGATTTTTTTCTTTCTTGTGATTTAGTAATTATAAGATTTTTTTTTTATTCCTTTATTTTGATTTTTTTGTTGTTTATGTAGAAGTATTCTATTCAGTGATATAAATCAGAACACTTTTTTCATTATCTGTAAGTTTTAGGAAGTTTAATTTTTTTACCTGTTGTCTAAATATGGTTACTTTTTTCTGTACAACTCTTTAGAAGCATTTAATGTTAACATAGTTTGGACACATGGAATTGAGCCTAATGCAGGTGAAAATCTCACAAGTGTATGGTAAATGCAGTTTATTTCACATATCCTGAATCTGTTTTGTGACTTTGTAATTTGTCAAGATATTGGGAGCAGCAATTGTTGCGGTTATTGTAACTTGTAGATAGATATATGTCAGGAGATATTTTTTTAATAGTTTTCGTGTCTGATAGTGGAAGCTGCAGTGGAAGTAGGTAGGCTGTTGTTTAAGCAAGCTTCTGCAGACACCTTTAGACCTCTAGTCATCTCAAATCTGTTTTCTATAAAAAGCTTTACAGTATATTACCATATGTTAATATAACGCTATGTAACACAAATCACAAAGTAATAGATAAATGAAAAGCAAGAATGCCTTTGCTAGTGAGAAGAATGCTGTTATCCCATTCCTATAATTTACCTTTTTTTAATCAGGTATTTTTGTCCAATGTTACTAACAAATTTTAGATTAAAAGAAATGAAACTGTTCTAGTAATAACTGATGAAAAAAAGTAATAAAACACTAACGGAAATATTTTTTAAAAATTTGAAAAATAATGAACAAGAGTTGCTCCCCCTCCCCTTGCTTTTGTGTTTTTATTCAACTGCTGAGAAAGTGGAGACTGCCAGCACTTGTCTTTTCCTGCCACTAACCTCCTTTCTACCTCTTCCAATTTCATGTGCTAATAATAGACATTCCTATTTTTGTGTTAAGGCAGTAACAAATTATGTCAGTTTGAAGTGTTAACCATTCACATAGTATCAAAACCAATGCCGATCCCCTTATTTTCTAGATAAACCAGTTCTAAACTTCAAAGCTAATGTGTTATAGACAGTATACGGGTAGTATAGTGCCAGATGTGGGCATAACCACAGATTTCCTCGCTTAGGCCATTCTATTCCTTCTGTTCTGGTTATCAGCATCCAGTATTCATAACTGATATCTTATTGTTCCTTAGTAATGTTGCAGTGTGCCAATTTCTATCTCTGTTTTGGCTCACAGTCAATGTTACCCATTCAGAATCCATATATCTGCATAACCATCATGGGTCACACTTCCCAGCTGCTCAGTGGGGCTAAGATGCAAACTCGCTTTCCTTCCCCTTTCCACAAGCGCTCGTCACATTCAGTAACTCCTTGAGGGCGCAAAAGGTTCAGCCTGTCCACACAAAAGGAGTGTGTTGTACTGCACAGGGAGACCAGGGCAAGCATGCACCTGCCATGCAGCGATACATTCTGCACCCCACGTGTTGTCTCTTAGGATATTACTCTTCCCCACTTGGCCCACTTCTGGGCTGTGCCCAGAGGTAGGCTACTCCAGGCCCACTGCTTTGATTTATGACTTTTCAACTTGTTTGCCAGAAGCACTAATAATGCCTTTTACTAAGTTGGGAAAATGGACAAAATTTATAATGAGCAGCAAGAGGAAACAAAGAGTGGAAGGAAAAAGTGGACCAAATGTGTCATATTAGTGAAGTCTGTGGTATGAGTTACAGGCATTTTCTCATCCTTTTAGGGTTCTAAATGAAAGGTGGCTGTTCGTTGGGATTTTTTTTAAATGCAACACCTTCATCTGTCTTCTCTTTTTGGTTCTACTTTTTGGTATTCACACAGTTAAGCAAAGTTTTTTTATCCCCATAAACCGTATGTTTATGTTAAAAACATCTGTAAAAGTCAGAGGAGCTTGTCCCTAACACTTCTCTGAGTTAGCTGGAGAAAACAATGTCAATAATAATGTACTTCATCATGCATTCTTAAATTTCCATATGTATACTCCAGACCTGCTCAGTTTCTTGCTGCAAACATAACAAGACTTGTTTTTAAGAGTATGGCTTAGTGGTTTCCTAGGCTGGATCTTTTACTCTGTGGGATTTCTAGTTATACAAGTTCAACAAGAAGGGTGCTAACCATGGATTCTGTAGACTGGAATTGTGTTTCACAGCCTTTTCAAGTTGGTGACCTCTCCTTTAAAATTAAAACCTTTGTATTTGTAAAAACTATTTGGTCTACTGTTAGAGCTTTAGCTTTTTTTTACATAGAGCAAAAGACTGGCAGGTAGTTTGGACTGCCAAAGGAGTAGGGAAGTGTTTCGGTATTTTTAAAAAATTTTTTCTCCTCTTTAGTTTGAAGAAATATGAAACATCTGGTATCCTGAGAACTTTTTGAACACCTCTGCTCTGAAATCTGACCTCAATGCATGACTTACTATTGAGAAAAGCACTCTAGACCTTTGCCATTTTAGCTTTTGACTTGAAACTAAGGCAAGCCATAACTAAGGAGAAACAGCTTCAGAGTAACTGGTAAAGACAGGGAATATTAGGAACTAGTCTTGCAGCTGCTTTGTGGAGATATCTGTGTTTGTCTGCAACTCCACTGAACACGAGGTGAAGCACTTTGTCACAAAGCTGAAACTGAATCCTGGCCCAGGGAAAACCAGAGCAAACCAAGGCATAGCAATTCTTAAAGCCTGCTCCTTTTTGCAGTCTTGGTTGTATATCTCTGGTGCAGCTTTGCCAAGAGGGCTAGTATGACTTACTCTGTAGGAAATAGGAGTTATACAAGCCTTGAAAGAAGAATGCTGTCTGTGGACTAGAACAGAGTTTCAGTCTTTTCAAATCTGGTGACTAATCATTGCTTGTGTAGTTAGAGTCATATCTCAGGTGCACATACTACAGCAACCTGCTCTAGTAAAGATGTCCCTGCTTACTGCAGGGGAGTTGGACCAGATGACCTTTGAGGGTCCCTTCCAACCCAATACATTCTATGATTCTATATACCAGAGGGTTAACATGACTATGAATCCCTTTTCACCCATCCCTGTCAGTCTGGGTGTCCCAGGTGCATGATATGGAAACACACAATTATAAGGCAGTCCCACTCAGATGGGAGTTTTGTCCAGCCTTCTATGTACTAATGAGATAATATACATTATTCCTTGACAAAATGTCCAAGTTCCTGAACTTTGATATGAATAGAAGTGGTGTTGGGCACAGCAAGCTCCTTGTGAGCTTTTAACGTGAATGTTCATATGGTACATCTATAACTCAATAATTAGAATATCCCAGCTGACATACCCAAAGCTTTTGGGGATAATAGAGGTTTCTTTCTAGTAAATATTTCAGCCATCCAATTTGATGCTCATTTTATTTGGGATACAATTAAAACCATCCTTATGTCAGATACCAAGGCAAGGAATATCTTCAGCCATTTTCATAAATAGAAGATACCATGTGGTGGCATGTTTTTGTGAAGTGATACAGTAATGATAATTTCATTAAGAATATGTTATCATTAAAACTTATTTTAAAAACTTCAATGTAAATTTATTTCATAATCATGCTACTGTCTACATTGTATTGATAGTCTCGAAGCATTGTAAAAGAAATATTATTCGATTATATTGTCCTGTACAGACAATTACAGTCAATGTAACTGTCATTCGTGCTATCTCAGGAAAATCTTGACTTAATGACTGTACCTTTCTTTTATTTGATTTCTGACTTTGTGTGACTGAGTTACCTCAGTAAAATTACTTATTTAGCACTTTTTTTTATCTTTTATACAAATAAATGTGTGTGGTTTATGCCTAGATGGATCCAGGTCTAGAAAAGCACAGAGAACAATTGGTAATTGAAGTCGGCAGAAAACTGGACAAAGCCCGCATGATTCGCTTTGAAGAACGAACTGGCTTTTTTTCTTCAACAGATTTAGGCAGAACTGCCAGCCACTACTATATTAAATACAATACTATAGAGGTAAAATATGATGTTCTATTTCTGGGGTTTTTTTCCTTTTTGAACCTATACCTAAAATAGTTGTAAGATATTACAGAATATGTAGCCGATTTGTTCAATATATTTTCAAATCATATTTACTGAAACGGGGAGAGAGGAAATAGAGAGGAAAAAGAAACTAAGTATAAAGCAATACTGAAAAATTAGACTTGGTGGGAAGTGATATTTGAAATTTCTATAGTCTCTACCTGCTTTTAGGTGAATTATAAAAAACGTTTTGATATCTACAGTGTGTGCAACCATTGGTACATGAGAACAAATTCAAGTGCAGAGTCTGAGAACAGAAAAGTTTTTCTGCATTAATAGCCTGTCAGGTTGCCGACTTTAAACAACTTTTGACACTGTAATCAGATTGTGTTGGAAACATATAAGGAAGATGGATTTATACAAAACTTTGTAGTATTGGAAACTGGATTTGAGGTTCACATTCATCTTGAAAGCTTTCTTTTGTAGGAAATAAGTATTTTTCTTGGATAAAAGCTGAAGACTCAGCATTAATAATTTTTAACTTTTTACTATGTATAATTAGTCTCAGATTTATCCACTCAAATATGTCCTAGAATTTTTTTGAAATGGCCATAGATTGCATGTCTCTTGATTTTTGAGGTGCCCAAGTTTCAAGGGACTGTTTTTCTGAAAGTACTGAGAAGTCATTCCTGGATTTTTTTACAATTTTGCAATTGTTTCTGTTTAAATTAAATCACTCTGGTCTTCCAATACCTAACTTACATTTTAACCTTATATGCCTTTTAAAACCTCGGTTAATATTTCTTAGTTTTGTGCTCTATATTTATTTTTATTTTCAGTGTTAAATCAATTCATTTTATTTTTACTAGACTTTCAATGAATTGTTTGATGCTCATAAAACAGAAGGTGATATTCTTGCTATAGTATCAAAAGCTGAAGAATTCGAACAGATAAAGGTAAAGTATCCTTTCATACAAAGAATGTCTTAGAACTAGACACTTCTGTAGTACTCACTGCATAAATAATAAGTGTCCAAGTTTTGTTAAATATTAAGCACCATTATAAAATGTTTTCTAAGTAGGCATAATTAGCCTAGTAAGAACTCTGTATGCTCCCACTCAAAATTCACAATATGTAGTTCAGCTTGAGCTACGGTGCATATTTAATAACTAGTTATCGATCTTTGAGAATTCCTTTTAAATGCTTTTAAGAACTTTTCAGCTCCTCAGTTACTAACAGCTGAAGATAAGTGACCATTGGAATAGTGCACCCAAGGATGAGATAGTTTTTCTGTTTGAAGTTTAAACCACTATTAGATGTCTCCCTGAACAATTTGCTTTATCAGAAATGAGGCAGGACCCACTGAAGTTAACTCTGTGATATACTTCATACTTCTGCATTAGATTAGCAGAATGATAAATTCTGATAAATTATTTTAAAATTTGAAATCTAGAAAGTTGTTGTAACAGGTTTTGTTGTGCAAGCTACAAGATTACTGTACTATCGTATTCAGTTCAATTCCAACCTCCCTTTTTGCCTCCTGTGTGGGTAGGACACAAGACAATACATTGCAAACCAGCATGAGCTTGCTTGCCCGTGCTTCCATCTCATAGAGGTGCAAGCCAGACTCCACAGGGTTCATTATCTTGGGCTCATTGCCATTTTACCACAATTATACAACTTTCAGATCAGAGTTGGCTCTCATTCACCTGGCTCTGCGAACTGCCAGTGTGAATCCTGCACCATCTACATATTTACTTATTTGCACATGTTGTCTGAGTATTACCATCTCTTTATCTAATGGAGAAATTCTATTTTGCTGTAATCTCTTCTATTATAGAAGATAATAAACAGTGAGTTTTCACAGTGATACATGCAATGTTTTCCAAGCTGGAATGGGTTTTTTATGGTAGTGATATTGCTTTGCTAGGTCTAAATTTAGCATAATTGAGTATTTAAAAGGAAAGCATATGGAAAATATGATGCAATATGTTTCTATATTTGTAATAAAGTTAGTAGTGATGCTTCTTGACTACAGCATATTTTTTCTAGTTTGCTTTCTCATATTTGTATGGTATGGTATCAGTGCACCATCATTTCCAGCTTTTTGTGATTCATTTGCTGTGCAGCTCTGAATGTTAGAAGTAGTAACTGATTTTCACATGAATAACTCAGGATTTACCCCTCTGTGTGATACAAATTGTGATTTCTGTTAATATTAATCATGTCTCCATAATATCTTTAAAAATTCTATATTTTGAGATAGGTAAGTCACCAGTAGCTGAAACACAGAGCTAAATTTGACCTGTACCCTGCTATGTAAGAGCAGAAAAAAATAATCAAAAATGCTGTTTGAAGCAGAGCATAACATTCCCCTAACACTGGAGTCATCTGTGGTAATTGTGTCCTTCATCTTTTTCTTTCCTGTAGGACCAGTGGCTGGATAGGTGGAGTTTTTAACCCAATTGTCTTAGGGTCTTTTGTAAGTCAGGTAGTCAGGTCCAAATGTAAATTACTTTCAGCTGGTTCCCTGCAGGGACTAAACATTTACCCTCTTTAAATAAGTTTTGCACTAACAAGCTATCAGTAAATCAAAGAATATGTAGATTTATGCTGGTTTTGCCATGTAAGGGTCATCAGTTAGAATGTGAAATGCTATGCATTATTCAAACCATAGATATGAATATTTCTTTACTCATATTAAGACTTAATCTTATTAACAGTGAAAATTTTAATATCATGAATCATAGTACTTCACAGTTTTGAGTTAAAAATGTGTTATGCCACATGCAAACTATGTAACTATAATGAGTACATTTAATGTTAATTCAAGATTGCCCTAATCCAGATGGACAGAGGTTTTACTCTGGTCAAATAAGAAATGAAATCTCATCAAATGAAGGATGGTAGGGTCAGAAGATTCAATTTTTGTGGCATATCAAATTTTTGTATGTCAATGGCAACCTTAATAGATGGTGATGAATAATAAAATGTAATTGTGTCACTGTTAAGATAGTTTCAATTATGGTCTATTAACTGCATTGTGGAAAATGTAAGTTTGCTGCTTTCTTCTTTTTTTTTCGTTGAAACTAGAAACTCCATTTAAAAATAATGTAAAGATGTTATAAGGTAAATATTATTTCACTGTAAAAAAAATTTCTCAAATTGCTTTAGCCTCTTCATAATGTATAATTGTGTTTTAGGTAAGAGAAGAAGAAATAGAAGAGCTGGATACCTTACTGAATGATTTCTGTGAACTTCCTACTCCAGGAGGTGTAGAAAACAGTTATGGAAAAATTAATATCCTCCTTCAAACATATATTAGCAGAGGAGAGATGGACAGCTTCTCCCTTATTTCAGATTCTGCATATGTTGCACAGGTAAAAATAGTATTTTTTACATATCTGTTGCTGTCTTCTGCTGTTTTCATTCTCCCAAATGTTTACAATTATGTAAGTAGGCCCTGATCTTTAACTTTTTTGTACATTGTTATGCAAATGGACTTGTAAATTAGAGGCTTGTGTGTGTGCACATGTGGTATAATATTTAAGTAGAAAAAATTTGCAAAAGCCTACCTTGGGAGACTATTGCATTTTTTGTTAATTATGAACGTCCTTTTTGTTTGTATTACCCTTATCGTCTTATTATATTTAGTAGTTCTAACTGTGACTGCACAGAAATGTTATTCTTAACTTACTGGGTTTTCTTCTAAGTCTAGAAAACTGTTGCAATCCATTTTTGTCTTTTGTGTACTTTCATGCTTCATTCTGCAAAACATAAATTGTGTTTTATTCACATGCCTTGGTTTACACAAGAAAGATGTGCTATTACGATTTTATTGTTAGACGTAATCATGCAAATTTACGTATCAGTCTATATATTTGTTTGTCAGCTTGATTGACACCTGAATGATTGGTAGTTATACAGCATGTTCATTTATTACACAAAATAATAAGAGAACTGCAAGTCTGTGACACGGAACTGCCTGCTTATACAACCAGAGACCATCTTAGAAAGAAAGTTTAGAATTTGGATCCTGAAGAACTCAAAGTGACAAAATGTTTGTAGACAATCCCAGATGTGCAACAATTATGAATGTATAAAATAGATTATAAAGTTTTACTTTTTAGCCCTTCTCATGTTTCTTTTTTTCTTTTTTTTTTCTTTTTTTTTTGAGTCAGCAACATGTTGCATTGAATAATTTTTGTCTCATCCTTACAAAACATTTTTGGAAAGAATTGATTGTTAAATTGCATTTAGTTAGTCCTAAAGATGAGAGTTAAATAGTCAAAAGTATGCATATTCTTCAGCAAGATTTTCATATTAACATTACCTTCTCCAGAAGTGTTTACATTTCATAGCACATATGGGTATAAATGAGAAAATTCGGAAATCATTATGCACATCATAATAATTGTGGTACTTGCACAGCAAGATCATTTTCAGTATGATTCTTTTAATCTTTGCTTTCAAGACAATTGCTTTTATTTGTCGGTCTCAATTCTAACATTTTTAGTGAGCCAACATGGTCGTCTTCTCAGATCTTCGTAAATTGTACACATGGAACCAGTGCTACAAATTATTAATTTTTTTAATTGGATAGTGACTATTAAGAAAATGATTCATCCTCTCTAAGTAAAATAAATATGCTTCTTTAGAAACATATGCTTCCTATCATGACCAAATAATTTTCTACTTTTTATTCCTGTTGGTATTGCAGAACCAGTAGAGAATGATTGTATTTTATTCCATGAATCAAGAACAGAATTGCTAACCCAGGCACAGTACTGTTAGGAGGAAAAAGAAAAAGAAAAAAAAAAAAACAACAACAAACAAACAAAAAAAACCCCACCACAACTTCCTAATACAGCTTGATAAGTTTATGAAAGGAATATCATATCATAACTTAGGTTTTGAGGATAAGACTGATAAAACTGACTCATTCAAGCTTATATTAATAATTAATTTTCCAAGTCCAAAGCAGATTTATACAGTTTGGTTATACAGTAGTCTCATAAGAGAGTAACATGTTAAAAAAAGTCACTACTGTTGAACTTCTGTATAAATGTTGTGACATTCAGTATGAAATGGGATGCTATTATGAAAGCATAACTGAAGTGAAAAATTAAAATCTTGATTTCCATATAAACTGAATTTGCAGGTGTATGGGGGGAGAAGGAGGAAGCTATTAAGTATGGTAAGTGAATTTGTTTCAGCAGTGATTGAGACACAATAAATTTAAAACTCCCTAACGTTAGCATAACCATGATAAAAATTCTATCCAGACCTGCCACTACAACTTTAATTAGTTGCACATGTTTCTTTCCATAATTTCTGTAGGCAGTCATGAGGTAGTTCTGCCACTAGACAGTGATGGAAAAAAATAGTTTTCAAGAATGTTTGAAATAAGTTTGAAAAGAAAAATCTATTGTTATGGTTTGACAAAGATGAGTCTATGGGATCCTTTTCATTTTACAAAGAATACTTGAGAGAATTACAACATTTTCCCTTTTTTTTCACTCTCCAGAATGCAGCTCGTATTGTTCGAGCTCTTTTTGAGATTGCCCTTAGGAAACGTTGGCCTGCAATGACATATCGACTACTGAATCTCAGCAAAGTCATTGACAAGCGGCTGTGGGGCTGGGTTAGCCCTTTGAGACAGTTCTCAGTGTTACCACCATCAGTCCTCTCAAAGTTGGAAGAGAAGAATCTCACTATAGACAAGATGAAGGACATGAGAAAAGATGAAATAGGTGAGAAATCAGCAATGCTGATCTGCTTAAACTATTAGTAATCAATGGACAAATTAGAACTAAATCTGAGCCATTCATTAATAGACCCACTCTGGTCTGGAAGCCATGTTGATGCATTAATATGGTATTATGGTCCAATAAAGAAGGTTTATTCAGTCTCTACAGCTTGAAATATGGCACAGCTTTGAGGGTAAAGCTAGCCCATGTCCTGCCAACCCCTGAACACATGTGGAATGAAGATATATGTTGATATGTATTTACATATATGTGTATATATACATATTTATGTTGACCTGTGCTTCCCTTCTTGCTCACATTGCATAATACACTACTGTAAAAGGCATCTGTTTATTTTTGCCAGTTGACAAAATAGGGCCTTTTTTATTGAAATACTATTAACGTGAAAAAGAATAAAAGCAGATTATTATGTCTTGGTATACTATCAGTAAATGGCCTGCTTCTGAAACACTGCATTAATTTTCATTGAACATGGAGAATTCATTGTCACTGGTGTCATTGCAGCAAAGCCGTAATGGAATTTTTTAAAGGATTTGACACTTCGATAATGAGAAAATCCACAAGCCTACTGATAGACATAATGACAATTTCTACTATGTGTGTATAAACTGTTGTGCATAAACTGTCCACCAACTGCTTGAAATTGGGAAAAAAAAAATTGCTTGTATTTCTTTTTCTTATGTTAGGGTGTTTTTTTCTTATTTGGTCTTTCTTTGCACATGTTATTGCCAAGTTGTTGAGAAACAAACTGCCATTTTTTAAAAATCTAATTTTACAATAAAAATACAATTCATAGTCACTGCTTTTTAGAAATTATGACCTCTGACTTGATATTTCTCTCATTTGACAAGAGAACTGCCTTCCTAACTTAGGAAGCTTTGTTACATGCCTAATTTAGGTTGGAAAAAGTTAAATAAATATGTAAGAGTTTGCAGAATTAGAGGTTATATTTTATTTAGTAAGTTAAACCAAATGACTATGAGAAAATTTTAAAAGCTTAGTTTAACTGCACATTATAATATATCATAATTTTAAATGTAACATTTATATGAAGTGCTAGCATTATTGCTTCTATTCAGACGTATTATAACACTTTTTTATTCAGATTTGTTAATTTGTTGTGCATTTGTGCAGTCTTTTTAATACTTAATATTCTATTCCATTAATTGTATTAGTACTTTTTTCTTTTCTCTTTTTATGCTTCTTTCTCCTGATACCTTTGCTTGGAGAAGCAAGAAGTACAAAACCAGTTTTACTTCCTTCAGCGTAGCGGAGCTAGTGTTGACAAGATGGAAATATACCAGTGTATATTTATGTCTAGTTTTGTTTTCTGTTAACTTAGTTTGAAAGTAGGTGAGACTTGGGATTTGACTGTGAAAATAGGTCCTTGCTGACTATGATATTTCATGTTATAATATTCATGTTATGATATTTCATGTTCTCTGGCCTTATAAACATCATGCAAGTTGATCTGTGCGTCTCTGTGAAGTACTGTTACTTGCATACTTCCTCCTGTCGAGCTTCCCTTTCTGACACCAAGGGTGTGAAGGAAGCACTTGCCTGGCAGCTGCCCTATTTTTATTTGAAGTCAAAGCCATGTAGAAATAAGAAAAAGCACAGCGTCCAGGTGCCTTGTTCTCTGACTCCATAGGAATAATTTCAGTCTTAGCATTTCTTCCTTTTTAAATGTTACTGTGACCTTGGAGATAGAATAGAAAAGACAGGAGGTAGGTGGCTAACTCAGTCCATGGCCTCGGGAGAGATAAAAGCATCAGATGGGTGCCAGCTCTCCCAGTGAATGGAGAGCGTGTTGTGTGCACAGATCCTGGATTCCACTGTACCACAAACTGGTCAGCACCAATCTATGCGCTGCTGCAGTCTAACCACGGAGTTTCCAGAAAGCCAAGAAATCACTGTGTTATCTGAGATAAATAGTCCTGGTTTTTCAGAATGCAGATGACAGTCATTGTGGAATAAGCAAAATTTCTTCTTCTTTTGTTAAACTTACCTGTTTTCTCGAATGGAAGACACACAAGTCCACCACACTTACCATGATACAGAAAATGATTTTTGGCATTAAAAGGTGTGCTTGCCTACACAAGCTTATTGAGTCATATATTTGAATATTTGGCACATACCTTTATTTAACATTTCTGAAGTTTTACCTCTAATTGCAAAAGCTAGTCACTCTGCAAGTGTGCTATAATGCTGCATTGCCAAGTTGTACCAATAGAATTGTTTTGGTTTTTAATAATCCACTTGCTGGAGGTGCACTTATTTTACCAAATGCAAATTAAAGTGATTAAATATGTGTTAAAACTTTTGCATTAAGTATTCGCTTCTTAAACAAAATCACCATTCATTACTTCAGAGTATAGATAAAATACCTGTGTGAGGCAAAATATGCCATTCTGTTAAATAAGAAAAAACAAAGAGGGGAAGTCAGGATCAATATTAAAAAATAAGCAACTGCAAGATACTATGCTCCTAAATTTCATTCAATAGCATGAAAAAGTTTGTCTCACCTTTTCACTTTGCACATAATGCAAATAATAGGATTTCTTCTCTTATTTTTCTTTGGTTTTTTAATGGTAAAGTGTGCACAGGAACAACATGACAATATCAGAAAATATTGGTAGCCATTTGTAAGGTAGCTTTTAACAGTGAGTACTTATGAACATTACAATTAAAATTTAATATATGCTCCACATAATTATATAAGCAATTTCAGTGAAAAAAAAAAAGTGATAAATCAACCTTCATTCCCTAAATAAGCTAGAAGTTACAATATTTTTCAGGAATAAAAGAAATCATTGCTACATAGTTCATTTTATATTTAAAATTAAGAGCAAGGGAACAAAGATTTCAGCTGTAAAATGCAAGTAAGAATTTTTTTTAATTAATATAATGACTTTATTGCCTTACTTATTATCACTGTGGTAGAAAATTAGAAACATTGCAGCATTTAGTTTTTCCTTTGTCTCAGTTCTACACTGGTGTATTCTGAAAGATCAGGACTGCTGTGAGATGTTTATTAGTTGCGTGCATTTTTAATCTATTAACTACCTTTACTTAGTTTTATGGAAAGTGTTCTGTCTGCTTTGAATCACTACACAGGAATTGTAGAAGTTCAAATGTGTGCCCTTCATTAAGTAAAAGGTCAGTATTCGCGCTTTAAAAAATAACTATATGGCTTGGTAAGAGCCTGGTCAAAAAGTCAGTAAAGGAAAGGGAACTAGCTTGACATAATATGTTTTCAGAGTGAATTCTTAATAGTTATTTTAACCCCTTAGTTGTAGCCAACAGGGGGGTTAATGCTGATATTTCTAGGTTCTAAATTGCTAATTCAAGTTAAGTATTACAAAATATTCCGACATGCCAGGTCAAGAGAGTCAGACATTTACACACCTAAGAGCAAAACAAGCAAGCAATAATACTTCTCTCTAAAAGCCTATTTGAAAATTGGAGCTGTATTATTGTTCCTGAAAATGCAAATTTGTTACACCTAGTGTTTTGTTGGCAGGTCATATGCTGCATCATGTGAAGATTGGGTTAAAGGTAAAACAGTGTGTCCATCAAATCCCCTCCATCATAATGGAAGCCACAATTCAGCCAATTACCCGCACGGTCCTCCGAGTTCGGCTGAACATCGCTCCTGACTTTACGTGGAATGATCAGGTAAAAAAAAAAAGACAGGAAGCATTAATTTAGCTTCAGTAAAGGAGTTGATCACAGGGAGTCTATAGCTGTTTGGATAAGAAAAAAAAATATTTATTTTAGCTAAAAATCAAATTTGATAATAGGAACGGAATGACCTTTAAGACTTTGGTAAAAGAAGGCACCCAAAGATCATATTTTTATTTCTGTTAACTGTTACAGGATTATGCTGTTTGTAACATGTTGAAGCAAGTGCTTATACTGAATATTAATAGTAGTCACACACAGATTTGAGTTATATGCCGAAAAAGGAGAAGCAAGAAAAGGGAGACGCGGATGGCTCTCTGAACTATGAATGAATGTCAAATGCAGAAAATAAAGCCTTGAAATACAGTTCATGTATGCCAAGTTCTCCTGCTCTTTATGGCTTTACAAATAGACATTCACAACATCAGTGCCTTTTATTCCACTGGGACTTGTCTGAACAGAAAAACTGAGATATGTTTTTAATTATATTCATCTATATTTTATGCTGCAAATTTATATGACAGGAGTTGTACTAGTTGCACATTTAGATATACCCACACCCTTTGACTCAGAATCTGTTCATTAGAAGTTGATTTAAGATAAATCTAAATGAAATACAAATGTCCACATGGGGGCATTGTATTGTTGCTGGTACTTCTGAAACTTTCTACTGAAACAAGACAAACATACTTCAATGGGCAAGCATATTTTTCTTTTTTTTTTATGCTTAGGAGATTTACACTTAAGATAAATTACTCTGAAAGGTGAATATTAAGTATCTGTTATTTTATTAAAAAATTAAATCCCTTAGATTACAAATTCACCTTAATCACAAGTAAATTAGAGTTTTATTCCACAAACATTAAGATTATTTTAGAATTTATTTTCCCTACCTATAGGCTTTTTCTTTTCTTCTGGAAGTTTTACCAAGTTAGCTTATGAATGGGGGATTACTCATCAAAATATAGAATGCTAGATTTTTTTTGCTACCCAGATTTATTACAGAAATATTTGAATGGATACCTAACATGAATTATAATGTGAATTTTTTTTTTGCTGCCTTATTTATTTGAAATACTTCAGAAGGCAACAAGCATTACGTTATAGGATTGAAATGAATTTTTATTATTTAGTCTTTCATCCACTGTACCTGTAATCTATTAAAGACAAAAAACCCCCACGACTGTTCTTCATATAAAACTGTATCTTAATACAAAATAATTTCTCAATCCATTTTTAGATTTTTCTACAAAATCTATGTTCTTTTATATTTTTACAAATTGAAAAGGGGTCCATACAGAATTATACTCTCTCAATTCAATTCTGAACTTCTAAAGTGATAGCAAAACTTATGCAAAAATCTATTTTCTGCTATGACCCCTTGACACAGTTTTCCTAGTGGTGGCTTTGGAAACATTATGATCATTTTATCAATTCAACTTATGGATCTCTTTTTGTGTGAATTTTTATACTGGTATTCATCAAAACTTCAAAAACTTTTTATTTTCTTTTTTTAATTTTTGTAAGGTAGCTATTGATTTTCTTGTTTCTTCAGTAAATGAAACTTCTATCAGAGTAAATAAACAAAAAAAGCTGTTAAATTTTAGTAGTCTCTAAAAATAAATATCTGTCTTTTCAATTCGACCATTGACACTCCAAAACTGCTTCTCCATCATTATGCAGTATTTTAGCTACCTATTCAGAAGGCTATAGAAACTTACAGGCATAGCTGTAACTGATACAAGAACTAGCTGCCAAAAAGTTCCATTCAAAGAATGGGAGTAGTCAAATAAAATCAGAATATTAAAAATTTAAATACCCTACTTAACTGAAATACCTCAGTTGGTTAACATTTCATGGTTTTAAGACTGCTCCTTTACCTGGATACTTAATTCTAGAACAGTCTCATCACAAATTTTGCACTCGCCTTTACAAGAGAAAGAAGATATGTTTTTGTAGTCATGAGATATGACATAATCTTGATCTTTAATGGCTGCAGTTTCCAGTACTGGGCACCCTTAAGTTCAATAAAAGCATGTGGGCCATATCCCAGTGGATATTGTTAGAAGCAAAGGACTATAAACATACCCAGACAGAGCAAGTAAGCTTTACTGCAGCCAGGAGTCCAACAGAAATACAGAATAATGCAACTAGTATTAATTAGCCAAGTAGTATATCAGACACGCAGTTTTAGGGCAGTGGTTGCCCAAAATACATGTGTCAGTTTTTAAGAGCTCCTCAGAGTTCTTCAGAATTCTCACTGGAGAGCATGTTGCATTGCCTGTTCCCACGCGCCCTTCTTTCCTCATGCAGCTCTCCATGGACTCTCCAAAACTTAAGATGCTGTCACAGTTGACAATAAAATTTTTGAGCTTTCAACATTATCACCTTCCTTAATTCTTCTTTCCTTTCTTAAATTCTCCTAAAACCTGAAGAAGCAATAGTCTCACTGTGATTTTTCAAAATGTCATCTGCAGTGACCTGTGTCCTGTCAGTTTCACTGCATCACTTCTCAGTGAAGCTGCTAGTAAAATTCAAATGCAATGACAATTAATGACAGTGTCTTTACTGTCCACCTACTTGTCTATTGTGCAACTGTGTTAGAAAAAAGCAAAAGCACCTTAGTTCTATTCGTAATACATATTTCTGTCTTCAAAAGCCAGTACAGACTGCTTTCCAACACATACACAATAATGAATTATGCTGAAAATAATTAGTGCTGTGTGAATCAATACCAGATTCCTGTAGTGTTAAAATTGCCATTAGAAGCAACTATGCACTTTGTGTTTTTTCCTGTTAACTAAAGTTTAGGAATAATTCCAACTTTTTTTTTTTTTTTGGTCTTCATACTGTTTTTTTACCTTATCACAGTCCTCATCAGAAACATCATAAATCAATGTTCATTTAGTAGTACGTCTTCCATACTCCTTTGCTATGCATTTTTCTTCTTTTCCTAGATATTTACGTAAAATGCTTGCACATTGGCACAAGTTCTTTATTCTGACAAATATGCAAAAATTCTTAACTGAGCATCTCACCTAGCTGGCATTGAAGCAAAACAAAGCAAATAAAAATCTAGGATGGAATAAATTGTTGCCAGATGGCATAGGAATCATCGAGAGACAGCTCTACTTATGTTCTTCTCACTTAACCTGTAGCAATCTACTAGATCTACAGCCTTCTGAATCCACTTACTGTGGATCCACTTACTTCTGAATCCACTTACACAATTCAGTGTCCACTTTTTCTGGAGAGAACATTTTTGACTGAGAAATGAGCAGTGAATAGCAAAAGACAATTCTCTATACAGAATCTGAAGACAGAAGTACAAGGAGCAAAGAGAAGGAGGAGAACACTTTTAGGAGCCTAGAGGAAACCCTGGGAGTTCAGTCTATTTATAAACAACTGAGGCACTACCTTCAGTTGCATTTATATTATGTCCAGTTATATTATACATACCTTAAGCAAACTCTTATTGAAACGTAACCTTTAAGCAGCCTGATCTAATTAGAAATGTTATATTGCTCTTTACCTCTGATTTCTATATTTCTTTATGCCTTTGTAAGCCTACATCATTTAGAAATATATCCAGTATACCCAGCAAATCTAGAGAACCTCGTTACAAATATAACAAAGCTATCTTTTCTACTCTAAAAGGTACATGGCACTGTTGGAGAGCCCTGGTGGATTTGGGTAGAAGACCCTACTAATGATCACATTTATCATTCAGAATACTTCATCATTCAAAAAAAACAGGTAATGGGTTTTATTCCAAATGTCATAGCAAGGCAAAAATAAAGTTACTGAGATGCAGATTTGTAAGGTCAAACAGTATTTTCACCTAGGCAGATTTTCACATCAGTAGCACAGCTTTCAGTTTCCAGTGTATATGATAAGCTTGGACTTCCACAAAGATGTCATCTGATCTCAGATGTCCCTTTTTCTCCTCGTCCTTTGATGAGACAGTTATGGCCAGGTGAAAAAAGAAAGACCGTAATGGTTTTGTCTGCTAAAGAAAAAGATGAAGAGCCAGCTATATCTTTTGAAGTCCTTGGAAATAAAATTCATTCCCAGTGGTAAAATATTTTATAAAGATGTGAACATTTTGCACATGGAGTTGCACACATACTTTATTGCTTTGTGTTGGTAATGCATATGGAAGTCAAGTTACTGATTTATCTGTTCAGTAATTATGCTCTACATTTTTGCATTAGGTGATTAGTAAAGAACCTCAACTGCTAGTGTTCACAATTCCAATTTTTGAACCTCTTCCTTCTCAATATTACATTCGAGCTGTGTCCGACAGATGGTTAGGAGCAGAGGCTGTGTGTATCATAAATTTTCAACATTTGATTCTTCCAGAGAGACATCCACCCCACACAGGTAACTTCAAATTTGATCTTTTTGTTTTAGTTCTTCTTGCTCATATTGTTTTTTCTTATGATAGAGCAATAAATCTCTTAACTTCTGCTTCATTGTAGAAAAGTATATGAAATTTCACTTTGTATTTCTCTTATTGAGACTATTTCTTCACTAACTTTAAAGCTCTCTAAATTTTTAAATTCCTGAGCAAAAAGCAGTTCATTTCATCTCAACATAATACCAGCCTTTTAGTTACTCCAGGTTCTCTATAAACCATAGGAAAATTGAAACTGTCATATAAAAGTAAACAAGAAAACAAGTCTCTGTGTTACAGTGTCTTATCTTAGTGCTTGTAAGCATTACATTTCTTCTGGAGTGGTTAAAAACAATCTTAGTGTGGATGGTTGTATTAGAAATGGCATTCAGCAAAGAAAAAACAAACGCAGTTAAAATTTTGAAAATATGAAACATTTTATGATTTTTACCAAGTAAATTCATCATAGCAAGCACTGTTACAGTACCAAACATTGCATTTGAGCTCAGCGCTGCTGATCAAATCATGACCTTCCCCTCCCCCTCCTTTTTTAACACTTGGCACAGAAGCATATGTTTGTGTTTTGCTTCTTTTTTTCTGGATACATAAATTGCTTTATACATTCATTGTGCCTGATGTCATTGTAAAACCTTTCCACTGTAATTACATTTGGCTCATCTAGCAGTCTGTGAAGTGAGTGCCTTCAGAAATACTCAGTTCTCATACGGTGTTGTCCTTTGGCATGCATAAATTCACATGTGTTTGTGAAGTGTTTAGCTATTGTTATACTGTACCTACGCTGTCTGGAAAAGCATGTGTAACCTTTTTATCTAATTGACTGATCACTGACTACTATTCAGAAGAAAAAGAAAGATATTTACACATCACCAGTTATGGAGCCTCTAGGATTTATGGTAATTGATTTCAATTCCCATCTGGTTCCCACTCAACAATGAAGTACATAGAGGCCCTGCTAGGCTAAAAACCTTCTTTCTCCTCAACACAGCCCAAGAAATCACAGTTTCAGTGGGAATGATAAAACAGCCATAAGGTATCAGTGAAGAGCATGTGAAGAATATTAGGAATCATTGCCTCAGTAGATTTTATGACTGCCATATCATACCTTAATGTGAAGCACCCTGAAAAGACAATGAGACCTCCAGCCACAAAAAAAAAAGAAAACCAAACTTCAAAGCAACCATCTGCATAGCAGAATCAGTACAGTCTCCTTAATTTGGTAGGATTCCAAATCCAATCTGGTTATATATATCATCTTCCAAATTCCACAATCTCTAATTGTTTGGATAGCAGATGCCCTCAAGATATATTGAGAATCATATATTGAAAGACTGTTTGTTTATTTATTAAGATTATGTCTTTAATTACATGTTTAAAGCTTCAGATGCAAAATTTAGCCATATTCATCTGATTTATATTACTCCATCAATCTAGAAACTCCAAAGAATCCTTCCTTCTTAAACAGTTTTTTTTTCCTTGAATCTGAAATATTCAGACTACGCTGTCCTCCAACTCCACATTCTGTTCTCATAAGAATCTGGACATACATATAATCCAATACAGTGAGTTTAGAACATACGACAACCAGTTAAAATGAAACAGCTTTAAGAAAAAGGCTAATTTATGCAAATGGCTGGTTCACAGCTATGAGAATACTACCAACACTACTTGCAGAAATACTTGAGAGCTATAAAATCAACTTTTCATTATTTCTCATTGAAGTTAACAGTGACATAAATGTGGACTCTGTGTCGTATGAGATATTAAGTAATACAATTTCCAGTGTAAGTTATTTTCCACTGAAGTATTGGTTAATATCTTTATCCTTGTAATAAACTATGTTATGTCATGGCATCTCTTGTCATACACTTATGATTATTTTGTGCTTTTAGAACTTCTAGATCTTCAGCCTTTGCCTATCACAGCCTTGGGACATCGGGAATATGAAGTCCTGTACAAATTTACACACTTCAACCCTATCCAGACGCAGATATTTCATACACTTTATCACACAGACTGTAATGTTCTTCTTGGAGCGCCTACAGGTTCTGGAAAAACTGTTGCAGCTGAATTAGCCATCTTCAGAGTTTTTAACAAGTATCCCACATCAAAGGTTTGTAAGATAGGTTTACTTATAGGTGTGTTTTCAGTAATACAAAAGCCTAGAAAAATTCTATGTCAAACTCAATTTTGCTTTCTCCAATTTATACCTGTCTGGATACAAAATGGTACTGCACTATGTACATTATGCTTTATTTCAACTTTATATATTAATCAGCATACAACTAGAGTTCAATCTAAAAACATGACATACAGGCATGCTGGATTTCCTTTTCTGTACTTACCTGTATTTCCTGCTTTAAACTCCTTCTACTTTCATATCTTCGTGTACTTTGTTAGTCCAAGCAACATAAACAAGGCACTCATACATTTTCAGCTTATCTATTAGACTTACAAAATAGCCAGTTCTCAAAGAAATATATCTTTTAGGTTTCAATAAAGCTGAAAACCTGGCTATCCATTTTAAAGAATGTATGTGAATTCTTCATGTAGCAGTTTCTTCATGTTCAAAAGCTTCAGAATATTTAACCATAAATCTACAAATAAGTATTGTTTCTCCATGACAAGGTATTGCCCCCTGCACAGCAGGCTTCTTTGAGGAAAATATTGTGACATTTTGCTTAAAATAATTAGCTTTTTAATTTAATTTTTAATGTTTTAATAAGTTAACGACATAACTAGAAATCAAGTAAGGTGTTGCTTGCTGGCAATTCCGATTATTTCTGTTCTAGAATGTTATCTTGCAGATTTTATAGTCCTAGCAAAAAATGGCCTTATTTATATAAGTGGATTTTGGTATTAAATGGTATGATTAAATATTTCCATTTCAATAAATTATTCTTTCTCTTTCTTAATTTATTTGCTTGTTAATGGCTCAGGAAACAAGGCAGCATTTTCAAGTGTTAAGTCTGTTTTAAATATAATCCTGTTGCAGATCATTTAAGGAGCTCAGACCTTAATTTTATAGATAATGAGTATGTTCACGTCTCACAAGTATTAATTTTTTTTTTCCTTGTAGGTACACTTTAATAAAGGGTTCTTGTTTAACTTCTGGTTTTGTGACTTTTCTTTTACAGGCGGTGTATATCGCGCCCTTAAAAGCACTCGTTCGTGAAAGAATTGAGGACTGGAAAGTTAGGATTGAAGAAAAACTTGGTAAAAAGTATGTTTCTCCTTACCTAATCAGAGAAATAAGAAGCAAAAGAACAGCCCATCAAGTATGAATAAAATCTACAGAATACTTTTGAGTATTTCAAAATAGGTTTTGATTGTGTACTATCCTTCAAATTTCTAGTACTTAAAAAATAAAAAATGCTGTCAATAGTCATTGTAGTGATAGCAAAATCAAAAGTAAAAAAGGGATACGCTTTGTTACCCAGCTATTTTCATTCTCATTACTTGCCAGTATAACAAATATGAAGCTCATATTTCTCTCTGCAGTATCCTTGGAAATTGAATTTGCAATCCAAAATAAGCTGTCTTTAGAAATCGCAGCTGTAAGGAACTTGTAGGAGTTGCACGAACTGTATAATAGTATTCATATATTGTCCTTCATATATAAATTAGCTATAATTTTCTTCCTTGATAACATTAATTTCTCGCTGATCTCAAATGTTGGAGTTGTCCTACATTATGACATATAAGGAATATCACTCATGTTGATGTTTTCCAAAATTATATTTTCTTAAGTTAAAAATTATATCCATAGGATGCATTATTTAGGGCCTTTTTCTTTCCTGTGTATAGCTTTTTTGGTAAGTTAAAGCTCAAAGCACACACCACAGGCTTCAATAGAAAGAGGTACTACTCTGTGTACATGAAACTACCAGTGAGATTCCTGCTATTATCATTGCAGTGACTTATTAATTAGAAGTTAGGCTTTTTTCTTGGTATTTTAATGGCCTGTGAGGATAAATTATTTGCCTCATAATTTTAAAATATTTTTAGGTAATATTTCCTTTTTGAAATTTACTCTATTACTTGTGACTGAGATTTTCAACAGAAGATACACATTACTTTGAGGAATTTTTATTAGATGTTCAACTGGATGTAGAATGTGTCACCGAAATGTCAAAAATCCTTTATATTCAGTCTAAAATGATGGATCATCTCAAATGCTGTTTGTAGAACTTAAAAGGATAACAAGGCAAATTTTCCCAAAAAATGACCTCAGGATAATTTCTACTTGTCTTAATGGAAATTCACCAACAAATGCAGATACACTACAGTCTAGCCTCATTAGTCAAACCACAGTTCTATACAGAACAGAAGGCTGCAACTTGGTAGCTTTCTGGAAAGCTTTCATCCTGGCTATGGCAGGATGTTATGATTCACGTTATATCATACTAATATTCTTAAATTATCTTCATTTTGAAAAATTAGCCATAGATGGTTTGGGACTCATATTCGCCCTCTTCTTTTTATATGGTTTTGCTAAGGAATGGTATTTGGTATTTGTATGGTATTTGCTGGGAAAGGAAAGAGACAGGTTTATTAAAATCCTATTAGACATCTTTGACCAGAAACTCTCTTCTCTCTTTTATGTTAATGTTAATGTTTAGGAGTTAATATTTGGATGTTAAGATGTTCTAAAGCTTTGTAAAGTGAAGCCACCGTCTTTCTTGATTACAGGGTTGTAGAGTTGACAGGAGATGTGAGTCCTGATATGAGAGCTATTGCCCAAGCTGACCTGATTGTTACTACACCAGAGAAGTGGGATGGTGTCAGCAGAAGCTGGCAGAACAGAAGCTATGTTCAGAAAGTTTCCATTCTTATAATAGATGAGATCCATCTGCTAGGTGAGCATGTTTTGTTGTTTTTAATCAGAGTCGTTGCTGAATTTGAAGAAGTGTACTTCTTACGTACTTAAGACGTAAATGTACTTTTTGATATATGAACCTTCTATTTTTCTCTGTTTTCCAATGGACTTTTCATTTACTAGGGGATGAGAGAGGCCCAGTACTGGAAGTCATTGTGTCTCGAACAAACTTCATCTCATCTCACACAGAGAAGCCTGTAAGAGTAGTTGGTTTGTCTACTGCTTTAGCAAATGCCAGAGACCTTGCTGACTGGCTAAATATTAATCAGGTAAGAAAAATATTTCAGAAGATGGATATGTATTTATGCTGCAGAAAAACAAAATAGTAATTTATAAGATAATTCAAAGTTAAACTTGTAAAAAAATGTTTTCTTGTAGATGGGTCTGTTCAACTTCCGACCATCAGTACGCCCTGTTCCTCTGGAGGTCCACATTCAGGGCTTCCCTGGTCAGCATTACTGTCCTCGCATGGCTAGCATGAACAAACCTGCATTTCAGGGTAAGCAACAAGCTCCTAGACCTTCTCCTTCTTTCTGTAAAGAAAAAAAAAAAAAGACTTTGGGCACTTTACACAGTTTATTTGCAGCACATTTACAACATGCGTTACTCTATGTAACATGTGTTACTCTTGGCATGTATAGGGGGAATCTGCTCTGCTAATGGCCAAAAGCTATTTGTCTGAAACATAAAGTGTGCTGCAAATGCAACATGTAACAGAGGAATGTAATGTATTTAGAACAGAAGAAAAAAATTAGTATTAATGAAGGGGAAATAAAATGTGTTTTCTCTTAGTGTTTGACACCATAAAGAAACATTTATGTAAAAATATTTGAAACTTAGAAAGTAATAAAAACACTCATATTATTAATATGCTGAGGTATTTTCATATGGACCACTGTATGTAAGCATTGAAAAAATTGTGAACAGAAGTTGCAAGTCAGGCTAACCTCCTATAATTCTATATTCAAAGCAATAACCATATAATTCAGAATTTGTAGTGCATTCAGATATGCTTCTGTTTTCAATTTTTTATTCTTAACAAAGCTGGCAAGCAGAGTAGATTTAAGAAAAACTCTCGTATTTTATTTGAACAGGTTTTGTTTTGGTTACATAAGGAATATTTATTATATCAATTAAAAATAACCTCCAAAATAAATTTTGTAATGTGAACTGCTGTTGATTGTGAGGTGACATTTGTGAGGTGACTTTTTAGCTGCTTTAATTAGCCTTATGACAGAAGCAAAGTATTGATTGTGGACTAGAGACCAATCTTGACAGCTCAGATTATTTACACCTCCACAAGAGCATTGTACAAAAACACTAATGAACAATAAATCTGTCTTGGCCTGTTCTGCCACACCTGTTCCTGAAGCAACAAAAATCCATTAGATGCTGGGCTTCTAAAATATATAGATATATTGGCATATATAGTTGTAAGGTATAAATACACATGAATTATCCTATTTCAACAATTCTACAACTGTACAGTGTGTGTACATGCAGGATGACATGCTGGGTAGTATTCATGAACTGGGGAACAGTATGTGATGGTGGATAGTATGAAATAGTTTTCAGAAATTAACAATGCATAAATTTCAATGCTGGAAGGAGAATTACATGAAAAAACATACAAATGGATTTATAAGAAATTTAGAGAGAGTATTTTAAATTCTATGTACACCTGTTTATACTTTTAGTGCTTGTTGATGTTAGAAGATCTGTAGATGTATACTATATATTGAGGGCTTTTTCCCCGACTTGTAAGACGTGATGTAGTCAAGGTTATTTTAGCATTTTCATGACAATACTTATTCCTGATACCATAGAAATTTTGCTGTAAGCTGAAACTTTGCAAACATGGGCTGAGCAAGAAAATGCTTTTTAAAAAGTCCTAAAACATAATTAGTTTAAATTTATCAGGCTAGTTAGTAAACAACAGAAACAGAAGTTCTTTTGTACCATGATGCCCACCTTTCACAGCAGTTATTGAAAAGTCACTTTCTACCTTGTTTACCTTTTCTGGTTTTGGTAGATTGAAGTGACCCTTTGCAGGCAGACATGAGTTTATGCATTCTGAGCTCTGGGTCAGGCAGAAAGCAAGTTTTGCACCTTGATAGCACTTAGGCTGAGCCAACATATCCCAATGGGGTAGGAAAAACATAACATCGTTATTAGGCTGAGAGAAATTCACAAGCTTTGAAGTCTAGAAAGCTCATCCAGGTTTTGTGGTGTTTTGGTGGGGTTTTTTTTCCTAGCTGCTTCTCTTGAATTTTTAGCTTACAATGATCACTGAAGTAGCATGGCAAGTTAACTCAGACTCAGCTGAGCATAGTTACATGATCTTTGATTCAAACATTATATATGCTCACCTCAGTTGTACCTGTCTGGCAGAATAGAGACTAAGTATAGCTGTATATTATCTGCAGAGAGGTTAATCAGCTGTCTAGGTATTGCAAAGAGAAAATCTAGTTTTTGTCATTAAAGGACCTAATTCTCAAGTTCTGTTTTCCTCAACAGCAATTCGGAGTCATTCTCCAGCCAAGCCTGTTCTTATTTTTGTGTCATCCAGACGTCAGACAAGGCTCACTGCCTTAGATCTGATAGCTTTCCTAGCCACTGAGGATGATCCCAAACAATGGCTGAAGATGGATGAAAGAGAGGTAGAATCATTTTACCTGCATTATTCGTGCTTTGCTTCTATTTTAGTGATATTTGTTTGAAAGGAAAATAGATCTTAAGCAAAAGAGTCATTTGAGGGTAGATCTTGAAACAGCTATGCATATGCTAAACTTCAATATGTATTAAAACTAGCATCAGCATTGAGACTATATAAGCGTCTTTGCAAGATCTGAACTTTAGAATGCAAACTCTTTTATCTTTGTTTTTCCTATATATCTATTATTAATGCTAGTTCCATTGTCCCAGACAATGTGTATCACGTGATGCAAGTCTTTGATACAAAGATAAGACAAAGAATAAAAGAAAGAGGACTAGTGTTCTCCAAAGATTACAGCTGGAAATATGACATATAGATGTTGAGCTGGAATATAAACAAAATCTCTTTCAGTGTTTTAGGAAAGAAATCATCCTTCTCATAAGATAACTCTGTGTGTAGAGGGTTATGTATATGCATATATATCTGTGTGTATATATGTACATATTTATATACATGCATGTATCCATCTGTATTCATACATATATATAGATAGATACACTGCAGAACCAACAGTTTAGGAATGGTTCAGTCTTACATATCAATTAAATATATCAGTGTTATAAGAAAAAGATTATAGCTTTTGCCAATATCTCTATTATAAGAACATAAAGATTACAAAGATTACTCAGATTTAAGCAATGCTGGAGTAAAAGTTTTTAAACTTTTATTCTTTTTGAAGCAATATAATCTTTAATTACATTTTCTTGTATTGTTTCTAAAAAAAATCCTTCTTTCATTTATTACAAAACATAAATGATGGTCAAATAATAAACAATCATTCAATATTCTGTTTTATCTGCCTTCTTCAAAATGTATACTAGATTTTATATACTGCACTCGGTTCTGCACCTGTTCTGAATACAGAATTATTTCTTTTCTTCTGGACTTATGGTCCTGATTATAGTACATCATTGCTTCAGAACAATTTTTTTGGTTAATATTCAGATTTTCTAGATTTTGGAAGTTAGCTTTCTGCAATGGTTGCAGGCCTTCTGCATAGGAATATCTGTGATAATATAGGGCCAAAACACAGCAAAATGTATGACTCATAAATACAAGATTCAAACTGAACATTGTACAAATATTTATATTTCAACAGTTGTATGAATTGTTATACGACTGTATACCAAAAGTCATATGCCAAAAAGTAAAGGTTTCTGCATGATATTATTTGATTTTGTTTGCTCTTTGCAAACAAATAAAGTGTGATTTTTCAGAGATAAAACATAGCATGTGAATCATTCCTCTTTTGGATGGATTTTAAAAGAGAAAATTAACATCTTTGCTGATAAACTACTAGTACTAAAACATGTCTCAATTTGATGCTGCTTTTCTAACTGTATAACCTCTGTTTAATGTTTTCTTGAGCATAACAGAAACAATTCATATCAAAATAACTAGGGCATAGTAGAGTACTCTAGTACCTTGTGCTAGTTTACTGTAGTAATCTCAACTACAATTAGAATATGCAACATGCAGCTTGCCCTAAATGACTTGTATTAATATGAATAGCTTCCTCATGTCCTGTGATCCACTACTATCCTGAAAAGAAATGTAACTGAAGCTTCTTCACTTGCTGCAAAAGGGTTTTCTATTAGCAGTCTTTGAATATCTTGTATTTCAGCATACACTTCTGAAGGTTTTGAAAGAGGAGCCAACAAGGACAAGCAGACTTTGCATGTATTAGTTTAATAACATTTGCATATGATTTGTATTTGAATTAATAAGCTGAATGTTTGGAGCATAAGATACCTACCAAGTTATTCAGTTCTGATTACGTAAATATAAAAGACTGAGGATTAAGCCCTAAGTTGTTTTATCTTACCACTATTATGCAGAACACAATTGTGTTTGAAGTACCCACAATTTCAAGTGGACATTTCTTTAGGTAATTATGGGACCAGTTTCTAGTTTTGTGTTTTAAATGAGCATGATTAGCCTGAGTTTCCTTTGACATTGAAGCAAAGGACAAAGCTGTGATAGTGCTACATACGTAGTGTATGTACTGCTTAAATCATAATTTATCCATATTTTTTTTTTAATTCGAAAATTCTATCTTCAAGTTATATTAAAGTCAAGCTTGAACTAGGTGAAATAGACAAAATTTTTTCAGTATTGCTATAGCATTTTTAAGTTAAAAAATAGAACTAGTGAATACTTACTTTATAGTAGGTAAGTATTCCCTATCTTAAACACTTGCCCAAGTATTTAAAGTGTTTCTCAATTCCATATGGGATAAAAAGGGATCAGTTAGAAGAAATAAATTGTTGTTGCCTTTAAACAACATCTTTTTTTGCCTGTTAGTTTTTCATGTTTCCTTTTTGCCAACCACTATTCCTTTAGGGGAACTTACAGACAAATTATTTTCTAAGTACTTTTATTGTTAATTGTGAAGTATGTTGAAATAGAAGAGATTTTTCACAAATAGGTGTATACAAATTTACAAGCTTACAGAAGGCCTTGGTGTTTTACTTCATTCAGCCTTCTCTGTATTCCATTAACTTTGGCTGACATAAGATTCTTTTAGTAACTCATTGGTTAGTTTTGTTTAATGGTGTAATTGGTTTTGCTACCTGATGGCCAAATGTTAGTCTATGTTAATGGGAAGACTTCATGAGGCTTCTTAAAATGCTGTAAACAATGCCATCCATAATAACATCTGGAAGACTCATATTGAGGTAGACAGATTCTTACAGCCATTAAAACTGATTTTTCTCTGTTACCCTGTATTCAGCTTTTCTGTGACGGTAACAGAGAGATTCAGACCTTGTAGGGGAGGGATTTGAGTGGGGGAGAGAGACCAACACTGGATTTTTGATACCTTTGATTTATCATCTATGCCATCATCTTAATTTCCCTCATCTTCCCTGCAGAGATTCTCCCTGTAGTGATAGTGCCAAACCAGGGAAGGGTTCTGTTCACAAAACTCCAGACTACTTCTCTTCACCAGTACTCTCAGATAACAGGCAAATCCACCCCATATCTCTCGCCCAGCTCCAAATATCAAATTCGGACAATATTTCAATCAGTTATATTTCAAAGGACATTAATTTTTACGAAGCTTCTGGAATACATATTTGTGTGTATAAATGACATACAGAAACAAGCCTTCAGTCGTTCCCACCAAAGTAGACAACAGTATCCCTGGATCATGGAGGAATCATACAAGTTGTTCTTTCCCTCAAAGGAGTCAGTAGTCTAACAGGTACAAATGAGTTGTAGTCAAGAAGGAATTTTGTTCTACGTCCATCTACTGAAAATATATATTACAAGTAGGTCCATTCAGTTTTGGATATTATTCTTCCTAGATGCTTTCCTTGAATTCCATGTCTGATGTACAGTTTCCTGCTCATACCCATGCTCCTACAGTATTCAGAAAGTTGTAACATATTCAGAAAGTTGAGACAGCAGTCAGTCTTCATAAGACTGAACTATACTTGATGAAAATTGCTGTTTCTGGTACTGATAAGTTTTCCAGTTCCACTGGACCTGTTGCTGCACAATAGTTAGATCTGTTTAATAGATTCTGTCCAACTAAATTTCAGTGTATGCACATGATTTTTATGAAGAAATGTCAACTCGAATACCTCATGTCTAGTTTAGTCTGAGCAAGGAAGCCTCCAACGATGTTGAAATACCATACTTACTAAGATTTGTAGCTGATGCTTCAAAGCTTATCCCTACATTTGCCAATTGCTGTGAATAGCATATGCAGATGTTCTCCAGGATTTAAGCAGGACTGCCACAGTTTGCCCAAAATAGACTATGAGTAGGCAATCTCTTGAAGAGGGAAGGTTACCTATTTTACAGCCTTAGAGTTTTTCGGGGGGATTTTTCTGTAAGGTGCATTGTCCACATACATTCCCAAGTGAGCTCTCTCTCCAACTTAGGATTTGCAGTCCCAACACAGTGTTTATTTTTCACCAAAGTGTGAAGAAGCAGCTGAAGCTACCTTCCTTGACATTTGCAGTAGTTGCAAGGACTCATAAATAGACATATCTCTGTAAAGATTGTCTTAGTTATATTTATGAGGCACAGGTGCATTATGACAAATATGAATAGGCAGTGCATCTCAAAGAGGAGATTGCCCCTGTAAATTGATTAATTCTTTATTTATTTTTATTGTTCATTGATGCCAGTGTGCCTATGAAAAAAGAAAACCTTATGCTTACCCTGATTTTTTGTATAATCATTAGATTATTTTTAAATATAAACTTTCTAGCTAAAATTCTAATTTGGAGCTGTCAGCCAGGACTGTCACGTTCAAGTTTGTGACCCATTACTTATCTTGTTAAAAGGGACAACAGCTCGGATTATCCTTTTGGAAACAGACAGTGCCACCAGTTTGTGGTAGTAAGCTTTGGTTATACTGTTCTACATTAGGAGCTGATTAAAGAGAAACAAGTCTTTTTCTTTCAGAAATTGCATCTACATCTGTGGTGGCGGCAGATGTTGCAATCTTTTTACAACATAATTTATTAGAATCAAGTTTTCAGTTTATTTATTTTTCTCTAATGTTTTTATTGCTTTTTGTTTTTAACCTAAAACAAAAGTACAAAGTACTATTTATTGTTTATTGTTTGAAGTTAGAATGCGGTTCTCACCAGCAAAGAAGTAGGGTGTTTTCTTTTTTTTTTTTTTTTAAATGAAATTTATTCCCTGACCAGATACTTGGGTATTTATATATTTTTTTAAAATATTTGCAGTGCAAGGACTGAGAAGAAATGTACACAGTTTTAACTTTAACCACAATGATTTTTGCATTCTGCTTTGTGCATCATTTTAACATCTGTATCTTGTTAAGACTGTTCTTTATGAAACCTCTAGAAATAACTAGAATCCTTTAGCACAAACATGCCTATTTTAATATTCAATAACATCCATACCTGGCAATAGCCAGCTTCCACTGAATTTAAGGGCATTTGAATGAAGGGCATTCATTGACTCCAAAAGAATGAATCAGGCCCGTACCGATTTTGTGATTTTGGAGAATGGAGTGTATAAACATGTGTGAGCTAATTATAGATCTGTATATGTGTTCCTACACTATGTGCAAATATGCACAGATATATGCATGAAAGTGAATGAAATCTTACTGTATAGTTCTGTTTTGCATTGCTAAAAAAAAACAACCAACAAAAAAAAATCCCAATAATTGTTGGAAAGACAAAAGATTACTTTTTCTTCTCTAACCTTTAAATCAAATAACCTGTTATCTCCATGTTATTGCTCTGAGGTAATGCTGTGCTATAAAACAAGAATAGAAGAATCTGGTCTGTGTCATGAATAGGTATTTTGCTGCCTTGTAGATGAGATTTTTAGTGTTAAATGTATATGTTTTAATAATATATTTCAACTGTTTAAACTATATTTTGAAATGTTTATTGAATAATCTTATTTGAGATGTTTTAGGCATCTTGTTTGTATGGGTGAGTTCTGGAGTATGAGGATGTCAGCTCTTCATCAAAAATAATTTTATAAGATTACTTTTTTGTTCTGTCTTTAAAGATCAGAAGGGTACCCAAGAATGATTTCTAAGTGTTTCACTTATTATAGAAGTTCAACTTCCTTCTACAAGATGTTGTTTTTATGACACAAAAGTGTGTCATAAAAAATTAACATTTAGTTATAACAAGAAGATGTTTTTATTTCACTTAACATCTGTAGCAGATGTGAAATATGTAATTATTTTTGTAAAAGACTCCATAACTTTCACGATTCTTTTGTTTGGCACATCTTTCTTCTATTGGGCATTTTAGACAATTGATAAGCATTATTCAGTGGCATATGGTCTGAGTCTGACGTGCTTTGAAAAGAGTACAGAGTACTAATAATGAGGATTCTGTGAAAATGGGAAAACCAGCACAACAGATATGCTTTGAGAAAGTATGGGTTTTTAGCATCTTGAAACAATATATCACACTCAAAGGGACAGAATTGGGCTGCACAATCTGTTAGCTCATTCTTGTCCAATCTGGTCTCCTCCTTTCTTTTGGAGCCAGCATTGTCATCAACTTGCTGAATTATACTCTGACTGGAATGTATTTCAGGCACAGGGTAATGTATCTACTTAAATGGAATCCTATCTTTCTACAAAAGCTTTTTAAGTATAATAAATTTAAAATATAAAAAAGTTCTATTAGCTTAAAGTAAATGGTTCAACAGTTTACACATGTGCAAGAACAAAGAAAATGACTACTTATTAGTTTGAGAAAAATCTAGCTTGTTCAGAGACTAGAATATAAAAGGTAGAAATAAAAGTTATTTTTTATAATAAATATTTTGCAATGCTACCAGAGTCCCAAATTGCTTTTCAAAGGTTTTTTATTAAAAGGTGAATTCCTAATCAACCTAATGTTAGGAAAGCACAGGAAGAATTTTTGTTTGTTAATCAAAAAATCTCTGAAGGCTATAAAAAGCTTTCCACATGGGCCCAATCCTGCTGTCTTGGAGTCCAGGGAAAAATCCCTCCTTGCATTAAGTTCCCTGCATCAGTGTTGTACAGCTTTTTTTATGCCAGTACCATGTATATTTCCTCATATTCTTTTTAATATACTTTTTCTGTTCTTAAGATAAAATATATTTTCTTTACCCTTTTGTGATTTAACATGACATTTGTTTTCAGAAAGATAAATAGTAATGAAGTTATAACAATGCAGAAATGTTAGATTTGTTTTATAGTCATGATCCTGAGTCTGTTTCTGGTTAATTAAACTATTAATTGTGCCATTATTTCTTAATAGAAAGTGATAATATTCTTACACTATACTGACATGAGAGAGTTATATTTTAAAATAAATTGTCATGAGAATTTTAAGCCTTGGATTGTGCCTATGGGTAAAATAGTTGTGTTTATTACATTGATTTATGTGAAAGTAAGGGGTCAGCTAAAAATGACTAGGATTCCCTGCTGCTAAAATGACAGGATAGTAGTACATGCGCCAGCTCTCCTGCTAAGGGTTCTTTAGTTTTCCTGTGGTAAATTACACTGCTTTGCAGGTATGACTAACAGCACCACAGGCCACCGCTGTAATACAAGTCAGAGGGGAAAAAAAAATAACCACCACTGATTGTAAAAGCAAGAAGAACATCTTTGAATAAATTCCCAGCAGTGTGAATTTAGGATGTTTTATACTGGCAACTACATGGCAAAAAGGTTTAGTTCAGGTTCTGTACTGAAAATAACTAACACTGTAAAACTGTGTCTGCTGAAGGAGCAGTCTAATCGCTATAGTCTAATCCAAATCAGCTAATTTGATCCCTGTACTCTTCTAAAGGAAAAGGGAGTTTAGATTCATTATTTTCCCAGTACCAAATTCTGCTCATGTGAATAATGAAATAAATGTCATTGGAACTCGCTTGTTCCCTTACGTTAAAGACATAACTAACATAAAGTGATGATTCTTGGTGAGGAAGGGAAAATTAAATTCAGCAATATAATATGTTTTGTCAATTTTTGCATGCATAAATTGAGTAAAGTGTAACTGCATTAATTTCTTCATTTATTTTTCTGATATTTACCAGTGCTGTTTTCTACTTTTTCATCTTAATTCCCTGTCAAATCTATACATATAACTACTATTTCTCAAAGTGTCTATCTAAGTGTAAGGACCATGTGCAGTGCTAGTACCACTTCATATATCCATAGCACAAAAGGCATTAATAGGTTTGAAAATATATTTATCCATGTACGTTGATGGTCATAATTGTAAAGAAAATGGTATACAGGTTCTTATTTTATCAAGCCATTTTTTTGTCTTAGAAGAAAAAAAACTTTAAGATGGGTCATAATTCATGTTGTCTACACTGTAGTCACATGTCTACATGGTGACTGGAGAAATCAAAGGTTTGCTGATTGTATCTAGATAGATAAACTTTATCCTTTAACATATCCTCCTTTCATTCAGTTCTTTACTCTACTTAGCTACCCCTCTCTTTTTTCCCTTTCCTCAATAGACTTATCCCTTCTTCATGTCTCAATTCATTGCTTTTTTCTTTCTGCTTCCTTTCCTTTCAGTGTTTTATAGTCCCTTTCACTCTTCTGTAAGCATCCTTTTCTTTTATACTTGCCAGTTCAGTTTATACAGCAAACTTCCCATGTCTTATAATATAGGAAGCTCTCAGGAACATCTACGCAACTGCATTGTGAGCAAAAATAAAGTTTAGGAGCTTCCACTGACAGATCAAACTGATTGGACCAAGCCAAAACTTGAACGATATTTTTTTAAAATTGGGTTCTCTGTTACTTTCATCAGTTCTGGTTCTGTCAGTCAATACTTCTTCAACAAATAGACTTTTTAAAATCCTTTCTAATTTGCTCATCCTGATTGATTTACAGAATCTATATTGTTTGTTTGGGTTTTATTAAATCCTGGCTTTTTTGTATCTTTTAATATTATTTTTTTTTTATAATAGTAGTGACATGCATTACTTGGGTTTAGATATGTGAGAAATTTTATTAACATTAAGGTCTGAGAATTGTAAAACCCAGGAAACATTTAGAGAAGGTTACAATTCTGAACGTCGGAAGGGCAACACCTCAGGGTCCTAAGTAGAAATGAAGATATCACTGCAGTCATGCAGGTATCATATCTCAGTACCTTGAAATACTCAGTCCAAGATGAGACTGGATACTCAGTCCAAATTCTTCAGTTATCTTGAGTAATTTTTTCTGCACTACTCTTTCTTCTCTAGCCTTCACTATACCTCCTAGGATAACCGTGAATGATGCTGCCCATAAGTATGTAATATCATCGTGCCACTGCTGGTGGCACCAGGAAACCACTAATAAGAGATGAAGTTTGAAAGTTCCTGGTTATAATTATATTGAAATCATATAAAATAATAAATGGCCTTAGAAATAAAACAACAGAAGGAATATTCAGGGGTAAAATCACTAAACAAGACAGAAGTTATGAAGCTCTTGTTCGTTATTAGTGAGGGACTTTTCACAGACATCATCTACAGAAATAAATTAGCTTATTATGGAATTTACTACTTGAAAACATAGGCAAGAAATATAATTAAAATGATTGCAAGTAGTCATTGACATGAGATTTGGAAAAAATAGCAATAGTCATAAAAAATAGCTTTTTGTCTGGACTTCTAAAAATTTTAAATGAAGACACTTATTGTATGCTGGGTTTCACTACAAGGTTTGAGTCTATAAATTACAAACTCACACTCAAAAAAAAAAAAAAAATTAAAATTTATTTGCATTCCAGCATGTGAATAGAAAACTTTTTTGATTAATAATAAGTTCAGAATTATTGAACTGAAAAACTGTGTCTGTTTTTTCATAGGCATTAGAAAGCACCAAATTTCTTTTTCATGACTGTTACTGTGTTACTGATTGCAGGGATTTGCTATGTTTTTATACCGGTTCTAACCCCTTTGATACTAGGGATTGCATTAAACAAACACAGAGCAGAATGCACAGCATTTGCCAGACCTGTCAAGATATTTTCAGCATTTTCATTTCCTTTTCTGTGCTACTTACTGTGTCAATAAAGGCATGTGCATTTTGTATTGCCCCCATTATTAGTATAGTATTTTATTTATTTAGCCTAAAACCAGACTGTTCAGAGACTGAAAACTGTGTTTTCCTGTTTGTATAAACATTGTTGAGCAAATTATCCTTGCTATAAAAAAAAGATAACAACTCTAAAAGTTTAACATTTCTGAGTAATCTGTTTTAAAACATGCAAGTATTCTTTCTGTTACAGATGAATGACATTATAGTGACAGTTAGAGATTCAAATCTGAAGCTGACGCTTGCTTTTGGGATAGGCATGCACCATGCGGGTCTGCATGAAAGAGACAGGAAAACTGTGGAAGAATTGTTTGTGAATTGCAAAATCCAGGTACATTTGTTCTTTGAATCCTGCTATAATGAGCTTTACATGGACTTTTAAAAGTTAGCTTTTTGTTACATATACCTCATTAATCTTTCTTTCTGTTTTAGGTTCTTATTGCCACAAGCACATTAGCTTGGGGTGTAAATTTTCCAGCTCATTTAGTAATTGTTAAAGGAACAGAATACTATGATGGAAAAACAAGGCGTTATGTGGATTATCCCATTACAGGTACTCAGATAAATTATGGAAATGCTCATATGCTGAAATGTATCTCAAGCGTATGCAAATGATCTGAATTATTTAGTAACCGATCACTGAAAATACCTAATTTGAGTAGAGACTAGGAGTGCTGAGGAAAGGGTTTCTTTGTGTAATGCAAGTTGTAAGAGAACTCTTAAGATTTAACTTAATAAGGAAAATGTTTCTGGTTTGCAAATCTGTTTTCATGCTAAATTCCTTTGATGCGTATCATCCAAAAAAGACATTAAACAATTAAAGGGACAATATAAAGTCATATTTAGCTACCTAGTTAATTGTATAAAAGGATGTTTTCATACATCTATTTTTTTTCATTTTTGAAACCTTTTTTAAATAGAAACAGATTCCTAACAGTGAACTTAACCATGGTTTGAAATGCAACAGTTGAATTACACATGTATGAGAACATAAAATTTATATGTAGTCACTTGACAGTAAACAAAAAACCTTAACTAGCCTAGCATATTCAGTGATGTAAGTGATACTTCAAGTAAGTGATACTTCAAAAATAAGCAGTTGAATTAAATATTTGAATTTCTAGTTTGATATAGACTTTTATTGTTTTCTGGCTGCAGTAAACTCCACTTTTCATAAACTGTTCTGCACTGTTTTCAACAAGCTTAAGAAAGTGAACCATGGAAGAACTTCTTTCAGAGTTCAGACAGGGAGAATATTTGTCTGGATGGTACTAAGCTTGAAGAATGAGGACAAGCTAAATTTATTCCAGGTTTCCTGTCCTGTTTTCCCCTTTTCTTTTTGTGCAAGAGGAAGTTTATTATTAAATAATCCTATACTATGCCAGAGATGTGTACACCTAAGGAGAATCTAAGTGTTCTTTGTCATGTAAATACAGAGCTTGCATCTTTTTAATTCTGCACTGTCTTTTCAGCAAGAGAAGCTTAGTAATTAAAAAAAGTTCAAACTGAAAATACTACAGGGGTTATTTCTCCAAGTAACCCATCATAGAGCTTAATTTAGTGGTTAGTGCTCTGCAGGAAACTTGGGATCAATTTCCAGACCAACTCTCTTTGTTCAAAGATTCTGGTATGACCTGGAAACTTAGCCATGCAGACTTGCATTTTGTGTCAGACCTAAGCTGATGTAAAGTTAATACAGTCTCTGCAGAGAAGTAGTATCTTGCTCATCCCGAGTGGAAGAATAATGACAACTGACCTTATTACTGAATAAGGGAAAATGACAAGGAAAGAAACCAACTGAAGTTTTAAATTTTATGTTGAATCTGTGGGACTGTCAGAGAGAAGTAACAGAGAAAATAATATACTTAAAAGAGATCAGGAACTCAATAAGCATTGAAGTCTTACTGTGCTGTTTTAGAAATCTGTTGTACAAGTATTCACAAAGGCTTTAGAGAATGCTTATACTTGCACTCTTTGTCGCCTTTTTTAATTCAGGTGACTTAGACATAGGGGGTTGTTCAGTTCTTGAATTTTCAGGAGGGCGGGGGGTGGATGGGGTACCACCATCTGTGATGGAAGCATTTAGATTTTGTTGTCTGCACTGCAACAGAAAATGCAGATTCCTTACTTTATGAAGAAACATGTGGTGTGGTTTGCTTAAAGCATTTTTATTTTTAACTTTCTAGAGAATATTTATGCATCTGGAAGTTCTGTGGATAGGTAGTGCAGTTTTGCAACAGCAATCAAATGAAAATGTAATGAGTTTGTTTCTGAAATACTTCCAAAATTTCGCAATACTGTCTTTAATGCTGCCCTCAAGTTATGCCTTCACTGTTCTGTCATGGTATAACTTGGTTTCT